ATTGTTGTTTGGCGGGCCCGGGCTGGATTCGAACCCACCGCCTTGGGTGTATGTGGTTGGCGCCTTAGCCACTTGAGCCACAGGCACTGAGCCGGTTTAGTCAATTTTTAAAATCTTCAGTTTTACTTTACTAATTAATTTTATAGACTTTTAGATATAATTTATAAATTAGTGATAACCACAAATAGTGTAGTCAGTTCCTCTGGGAATTTAGTAGCCACATTGAATCAGCAGAATACTTGAGTCAGAACTATCCTTTAAGGCAGGCTTGGTGGTAGGTGCCTATAACCTCAGCTACTCAGGAGGCTGAGGCAGGAGGATTGCTTGACGCTAGGATAGCGTCTAGACAAAGATAGAAATGAATAGTTGGAACAGAGACTATATGGCTCATAAAGTCTAAAGGAAAAGTTTGCTTACCCCCTCATGTAAACTAGAACTGTCCAATAGAACTTTCTGGAGTGATCAAAATGTTTTGTATCTGGACTGCTCAGTATGGTAGCCACTATCCACTGTTGCGAATTGAGTACTTGAAGTATAGCTAGTGCAACTGAAAAACTGAACTTTTTATTTCATTTAAATTAGTTTAAATTTTTATTTCTTTTATTTTTTTGCAATTTTTGGCTGGGGCTATGTTTGAACCCACCACCTCCAGCATATGGGGCCTGCGCCCTACTCCTTGAGCCACAGGCGCCTCCGTAGTTTAAATTTCAATAGTGACATTTATCTTGTGGCTAGTATTAGTAAGAGGGTAAAGCTAAAAGGAATGTTGATAATGATAGCTGATGTATAAGTGTTTGGTCATGTTATCCTTGAAGGAAGGTACACTTTGTTGATGGAGCTTATATAGAGCTACTAGAAGTTTCTCAGCTGGGCTGTCGCAGGTATATATATAACGTCTAATAAGAAAATCAGCTTGGAAAGCCTTGAAGATTAGTTGAGCAAAAGCTTGAAGCAGGGCTGCAAAAATAGGAATAGAAAGTTGGGGATAGTTTGAAAGGCATTTTTAGGGTAGAACTAGATCATGAACTTTTTGTTTTGGTGTTTTTGGAGACACGGCATTGCTCTTTTGCCTTGATTAGAGTGCAACAGTGGTGTCATCATAGCCCATTGTATCCTCAAACTCCTAAGTTCAAGCAGTCCTCCTGCTTCAGCTTCCATATCCTCCTGCCTTAGCCTCCTAAGTATCTGGGACTGGAGGGGGCCACTGCAACACCTGGCTTGTGTTCTCTCTCTTTAGTAGAGATGAGGTCTTACTCTTGCCTAGGCTAGTCTGGAACTCCTGAGCTAAAGTGATCTTCTTGCTTTGGCCTCCTGGAGTAGGCATGAGCCACTGGGCCTGGCCTAGATCATACATTGTCCATGCTGACGTTTTTGAAAATGAAAAGGAGCATTATTAATAATTACGCCACTGTCTGTAATTATGGACTAAAGTCTGCATACTGGTACTGCCCCAGGTAAACTGTGATATATGTTCATTCTAATTAAATAAGATCTCCAATAATATATGGACAGAATAAAAAGAAGGGGTTGGACACCTGTAGCTCAATGGTGAGGGCACTGGCCACGTGCTCCAGGTCTCTTGGAGCCTGAGCCTGCTCAACAACAAGAAAAAAAGCCAGGCATTGTGGTGGATGCCAATAGTCTTAGGTACTAGGGAGCCTGAGGCAAGAGCATCACTTGAGCCCAAGAGTTGGAGGTTGCTGTGAGGTATGGTATCAAGGGTGTCAAAGGTATGAGGCACTTGATACCAAGGGTGACAAAGTGAGACTCTGTCTCAGTTAAAAAAAAAAAAAAGTAAAAAGGGTCTAGTTTACTGTAATTGACAAGATAGTGATGTCATTAATAGAATTGGAGAACAAGGTGAAAAAGAACCAATTTGAAGACATTGGTTTTAGAATCTAAAGTTGTTAACTGAACAACACATAATCAATTCTCTAAAACAGTGGTTCTCAGCCTTCATAATGCCATAGTGTATTTTTATTGTTAAGAAGAGGTTGTGACCCACAGGTTGAGAACCCTGCTCTAAAATGTTAACTTTGTTAAGAAAGGGTTCCTGAAATTTTATATTCATCCTTAATAAATCAAGTAAGGATGGTTTTCTTTGGTTTTCCAGACTAGAGTCTACTGCACGCACATCAGAGAGCTCAGAAGAATTCTTAGAAGAAGAACCCGAACAGAGAGTGATTGCATTTGAGGATGAAAGCAGTGATAAAGATCCACAGGCAGCATCAGAGTCCCAGCCACACTTAGAAAAGCAAGATGGCAAAAAGGTGTGAGGACACTTACTAAATAAAATGAATGGAAGTAATCTGAAATTTAACTTTCTCAATCCTATTGTTAGAAAAATATAATGATGTGTTTTACAGTCTTAGTAGAAATTGTGTTTAATGTTGAAAAGCAAGATCAGGTACTGGAGTTGGGGAGAGAAAGTTGTAAGTTTAATTTTATATTTCTGAGTTTATAAAAGTTTGAGTTACATCAAAGATAAAATTAGGGATGTTTAAGTAGTAAAATCCTTCTGGGCATTTAAAGTATAAGTTGTAGATTTAATCACACTTAGGTACACAAATGGTGTGATCATAAGTTCTACCTTATGGTGCCAGTAGAATGCCTTTTGGTGCAACCAGCCTTCAGTTACACCACTGTTTTGGCTAGAAGGATAGGAATTAGTCATCTTGAAAAACAAACAAAAAGCAGCTAGCCACAATTGATCTTACAAATTCATAGAAAAATAACTAAACTAATTTCTTTAAGAAAACACTATAAAACAGGCCGGGTGCAGAGTCTTGTACCTGTAATCCTAGCATTTTGGGAGGCTGAAGTGGGAGAATCACATGAGGCCAGGAGTTTGAGACCAGCCTGGGTAATGTTGCAAGACTGTTTCTACCAAAAAAGAAGAAAGAGAAAGAAAATTAGCCCAGTGTGGTTGCACGCTCATGTAGTCCCAGTGAAGGCAGGAGGATTGTTTAAGCCTGGGAGTTTGATGTTACAATGAGTTGTGTTGGGGCTGCTGTATTCTGACATGTTGAGTGAGACTTTGCCTCAAAAAAGTAAAATAAACACTAGAAAACAAATAGGCAAACCCTTTTGTGAATAAACGCTTTATCTGGCTAGATTTCTTACAGCCTTGCAAGTATTTATCTTCTTTTTCCCCCCACTCTCTAGCTCCTATCCTTTTTTTATTTAGTATCTTCAGTCTTTCCTTTCTGCACATTCCTTATTTCTTCTTTCATGTGTACCTAATTTTTTTTTTGAGACAGAGTCTCAAGCTGTCGCCCTGGGTAGAGTGCTGTGGTAGCAAAGCTCACAGCAACCTCCAACTCTTAGGGTAAAGTGATTCTCTTGCCTCAGCATCCCAAGTAGCTGGGACTACAGGCACCCACCTTGACACCCAGATATATTTTTTGTTGCAATTGTTATTGTTGTTTTAGCTGGCCCAGGCCGGGTTTGAACCTGCCAGCAGTGGTGTAGGTAATTGGCGCCCTACCCACTGAGCTATGGGCGCCGCCTATATGTACTTAATTTTCTTGAAACACCTTTGACTTCTTTGCCAAGTCCATCCTACAGGTTAATAATGAAATTACATTGCCAATTCTCTTTTCTTTTTTTTTTTTTTTGAGACAGAGTCTCAAGCTGTCCCCCTGGGTAGAGTGCTGTGGCATCACAGCTCACAACAACCTCCAACTCCTGGGCACAAGCGCGTCTCCTGCCTCAGACTCCCAAGTAGCTGGGACCACTGGCGCCCACCACAACACCCGGCTATTTTTTCCTTTGGTTGCAGCCGTTATTATTGTTTGGCAGGCCCAGGCTGGATTCGAACCTGCCACCTTGGGTGTATGTGGCTGATGCCTTAGCCACTTGAGCCACAGGTGCCGAACCCCAATTTTATTTTCTTAAGTTGCTCCTATTCAGCCCTCACTTCCTCTGCTTCATGAAATCATTTTTTTCTTTTCTTTTTTTTTTTTTTTTTGAGACAGAATCTCATTATGTTGCCCTTGGTAGAATTGCCATGGCGTCACAGCTCACAGCAACTTCAAACTCTTTAAGTGATTCTCTTGCCTCAGTCTCCTGAGTAGCTGGGACTACAGGCACCCACCAGAATGCCTGGCTATTTTTGGTTGCAGTTGTCATTGTTGTTCAGCAGGCCCAAGCCAGGCTCGATCTCACCAGCTTTGGTGTATGTGACTGGCACCCTACTCATGGAGGTACAGGGGCTGAGCCCATGAAACCACTTTTTTAAAATGACATTTTTCTTCTGTAGAAAATTGGGAAAATGGAAAGAAACCCATTTTTAAAAATCAGTATTTATATGCATCTAGATGTTGATAGGAATATATGTTTGTGGTCTTTTCCATCTTCTAAAACTTAAGATTAAACCATACATAGTTCATGTAACCTGCTTCACTAATCCAACAACTAGTGATAGCTTCCATTTAATTGTGAAGGCCCCCCCCCCCCC